TTTGTTCCTTATTTTTTGTGAGATAAACTTGGTGGTGTTTCTTCCCGTTACTTTTCTTCTGTTTTTGGTGTAGCTTTTTCCCATGATGTATAATCTTATATATAAGAATGGTGCAGGATACGTTTTATGTTTGGCAACTAGTCATTTAGCTGCATTTACCAATTCCCCTTGTTCTGGTTGGTTAAGGGTTGTCTCCACAACCAAGTTTAAGGGTTCAAGGGTTAGAACCTCCCCTCCCCTTCTCTCCCACTCTAAAAAATGAAGGGTCATCTGGCTGCATTTAAGTACTGGATTTAAATGGGAATAGGAAAAGAAAACGCAAAAAAATTAATTTCGCCACTCTCTCTCCTGTCAAATGAAAATGACCATGAATCACTTTGATGTTTTAAATTCCTCCTTAATTCACGTTGTTAATAATGCGGTATTTCTCATGGTTTTCATTTGCAACCAAACATAAGTTTCTTAGTGTTTTTCTTAAGTTTCCTTGCTGAAGTCTAACATCTTAATGGAGCCTTGCTACGTAAAGATAGTTTATATGCCATGTGGATCTATATATATACTTTATATAAATGCATATTTTGTTTAACCTCAAAATAAGCATTTAGAACATAAAACATATCCATGTGATTTCCTGTCGATTAGTTATTTTCATCGGATTTCATATATGAACTACTACTTATTTGATTTAAAGCATCACTGACATAGTCGCTTTTCTCATATTTAACATGGAACTTTTACAGGATTCACACAATACATTAGAAATAAAGCCTGATAATCAGGTATCACATGAGTCCCAATGTGAACAACCGAATAATGTCACAGAGACTGATGTACCAGATTCGGGTTCAGTTTCTGTATCGAGTAATGATAACAGAAAAGTTTCACGCGAGGATATTGAACTTGTAAGGCAATTGTTTCTTCATGCTGTTTCCAACTGTCTTTAGGATTTACATAACAAATGTCAGGATTGTATACTCTAGATTGATTTATGATCATAATCTGCTGTAGGTCCAGAATTTGATAGAACGATGTCTGCAGTTGTATACAGTGACCTAGGATTTCGAGCCAGTACGGGCGGCTGTGTTAAGAGCCCTGTTTGATGCTCTTTTTTTTTTTTTTTTGCAAAAAATGTATTTTGAAATAATGATTTGATGGAAAACGTGTGCTTTAAGAATAAGAAAAAATTTTGAATTTACATATAATATTATTTTATTAAAAAATGTACGATTGAAAGAAGAGATATAATATTTTAAAAAAAAATCAAACAAGGTCTAAAATTTAAATATAACAATTATTTTGTTCAAACTAAATATATATAATTTTGTTACATTAATTAAAAATATTTACCAAGTGAAATTGTGGTCAAGTTTTGTATAATTCAAATGAAGAGCTTCGAATTTTTACAATTGCATTAAACCCGCTAACATGTAACATATATTAGTTTGGTAAATTTAGTTACAAATTCCGTAAGTGCCACAATGGTCAAAAGTACATTTTCCCATGAAGAGGTCATGGCTTTGAACTCTCTCCATTATTCCATCTAATTTTGGTAAATTTTGTAGAATTAAAAATGTTTGACAATAAAATTGTTGGGAGGGGGATTCGAAACGGGTACCTCTCACTTGAAAATACAAGGTAAAGTCAATTGAGCTACAAGAAATTTATGAAAACAAAAGAACATACCAGGTATATAATGTTAAAAATTAGGAAAAAAATTTTAAATTAACTTGAGGCCCATCTATTTTTCCTAACAAGTCCAATAGTGACTTCTACCATCATGATGTTCTTTTTTAAAGGAGAGATCATCTTCTAGTTTTTTTATTGACATTCGATGTG